TTTTTTCGACTTATTCTGTAATTTGTGTCAATCAGCACATCACAGCATGATGGTGTCTTACTCTACAAATGAACAGCGACGTGAAATATGTAACTGTAATGTGATGTGTGTATTTGGGTAGACTGATCACGTCTTCAACGTAGTAGTGTTATATAACATTAGAAAACACACAGGAGATTAGATTGCACTGAGTAACCATCAGGAGATGTTATGAAATTTTAATCACGCGTAAAGGTAGAGTAGAAAAAGTGAGAACAAGTTATTCTAGATTACTGTGCTTTCTACAGCTGGTCGGCTATGAGAACAAATACTTGCCAGCAATGATACTGGATAGTGCCAGTCGCGCCGTGTGGTGAATTAGGGGAAGTTGGAATTCATCAATCGGCCATTGGATCGGGTCCCAGTGGATGAATGGTCTACGAGGTCGCCTCGCAACCGGAAAGTCCTACGTTCGACCCTTGGCGGTGGGTATGTACTGCTGAAGAGTCCCGGACTATTTGGAAGAGACAGTTGTCCGGTATTACTAACTGGTTTTCAGTTGGTTCTCTAACCGAAGTCAGCTCATGATGAAGTCCTGTAGCTAATCAGATCGCCGCAAACCACCACTTGAACACTTCGTATCTAATGTTGTGACTTGGTGACTGTCAGGGAAAACGTCCTTAATTTATTCCCGCATTCTCATGATGACTATTGTCCAAGGTAATCATAATCTATAAAAAGGGAACTTAGATATTCTTTTAATCATCTCCCAGTAAGTCATTATACGGCTAGTAGAATCATCTAAGTCAGTGGATTGTTTACAAATGTGAAAAATATCTCAAGTCTTCAAGTAGAGTTGTACTGTCATCAGAAGTTTGGGTACTGTTTGAATGGATAGTATGAAACAGTTAAAAGATTTAAGACGGGCAAAAAGGACTACACTATAGGGTCGGGAAAAATGGACATTGAAAGAAAATTTTTTTTACAATACGCTGTTTATAGGGACTTGATCTATTTGATCACGCAGTGATGTGAGTTAGAGAAGCGTCAAAAAGTAGCATGGAGTACTGGATAGCTATTTCGTATTAGTTTGGAACTGCTCATCAGTATGCTCGCTAATGAATTGGCTACATAATGAACTTGCCTTGAGTTCTAGTAAGAAGTCGTGACCAGTGGGGTCATCTAAGTCGTCAGTGAGGACAAATACTCGCCGATGACACTGTCTGGTGGTCGCCCTAGATATTACGAATTTGTAGAATTTAGAACTAATGGGATGGCCATTGAAATGAAACCCTATGACTGACTGGTCTATAAGCTCACCTTTTAACCAGAAGATTCTGATCCTGATTTCTGGTGTGGTCATGTGTAGGTACTGATGAAGAGTCCCAAACTAGGACGAAACAGTTGTCAAGTCCTCCCGGGTTTTTGACGGTTCTCTAACTGATATCAATGTATGGTCAAACTTGAAACAATCCATTGCGTTTTATTGCAATCTAATCAGTTTTGCACGAAGTGATACTTAGACACTAACAGCTTAATAGTGAATATGACTCAGAATTTTAAATATCCACAGCGCACCGATGAACTGAATTACATAAAAGTCTAGCTTCATGTAATCTTAAATTACATCCTACATTTTATATGCAATTTGGTCAGGGAATACAAAAAGATGGATGTAATTCCAAATTTAGACAGATTTTTTTTGAAGAGGATTTGTTATTGGTTTTCTAGAACACACTCCAAGAAATAAATGTTACACCAACCTGAGTAGCTCAATCGTTTTCCACTCATTCACTTGATATGCGACCAATAGCTGCTTTCTCTACCTGATAGCGGTAATGGTGTATTACAATGACGCAATGACCTACACTATCTGGAACTATTGTCTCTCCTTGTCCTACTATACCAGAAAGGCCATTTGGACAGCGGTTAGGCTAAAAATAGTTATCATTATAGTGTAAGTCGTCTACAATATGTTGGGGGTCTGTTGATGAGGTCCTACTATAAGGCAGTAAGAATATAACAGTAGTAAGGTGTTATCAGCTTGCCAGATATGTTGTCCCTTGGCTCTGGATAGTGGTGTGGAGGTTAAATAAGTTCCGCCCCGAGAATTGTACATCCCGACTTATTTTGTGGCGGTTCAAAGCCGGCAGTAAGATTCTAGTACGGACACAATTCAAAAAAGCACTCCGAACACACCATGTGTGACTGGCCTAAAGCTGTTTTCCCTTTGAATTAGTAGACTGTGACTAGCAATGGAATCCAGGATGCGCATTTCGTACTATTTGGGACTTGTTATCTGAATGTACCTGCATTCCCCAGTGAGTGATGATGTTCCCACCGAGAAGTGTAGAGTTAGTAATCAAAAGGTATTCACAACGAACTATATGACCTAAAAAGATTAGGGGCACTTTTACACTTTTCTTCTTCTTAAAGTTGACCGAATCGATAATGCTTACATATGTCTACCTTATTCTTCTTTAGCTAATGTCTATACCCACCACTTCGGTTAACTTATAACACTGATTTCCTATCTTTTATTTTAAAATTATTCTCCAGTTTCCATCTAAATCCACTTAAAACTTGACTATTTTAATTTGAATGTATCTTTTAGGCGCTTTTAAGTGTCTATTGATAGGCTGTCATTATTCAAAAGAATATTGATCCCAGTGCACTTTAAATTGTAGATAACAGGAAGAATTTTAAAAAATGGCGCCAATTTTCCTTTCGATAAGTCCATCGACTAAGCTGTACACTTATTGATATATAACAAAGAGGCCTACGTGTAGCATTTTCCCTATAAGGAACGATTGGGCCAACATGTTAAAGACAAGCTGTTGCATTGGGTCATGTCAACATGCATAAGCCATAAAACGATATACTGACGATTGATTCAGATGAGTAGGTGTGGATCACTCATATCAACCAGCAGTGCTTGACAGTCAGCCAGCCAGATCGAGGTGATCTAAACACAATAGGACAGCCGTTTTACTTGTTTGAGGTCGAACTCATCAGCGGCATACCCGATTTGATTCGGCCTAAAGAGCCAAATAACTTAAAATCAAGGCACTAGTGGTTGATGTGGGTGGGGCGCATGAGACTACTCATCTCAATAAATCAGTAGTATATGACTTCATGCAAGTTTGCCTGCTTTCTTGATTAGCATTTACGATGTCAAGTAGATCACACATTATGGTGATCGGAATAACTTGGTTTCCAAAGGAAAGTACTTTGAAATTTCAACACTCGAACTGTGTACTGTGCAAATTACTAACTAATTATCGTACGCAACGTCACTTGCTCTTTTAGAGCTGAGTACATTAGCCATAACATGCGTTAGCGTGTAAGACGTACTTAAGAACATTATACAGTCCGACTAGAGAAAGGGAGAATGGTGGCTTAATAACTCCTTAACAGAACATCTGGTGAATTCAGGAAACTCACAGCTCAATTTGATAGGCCCTTCAAAGTTCTATACAAGATCCGTTCAAACCCATTAAATGGGAGTGAGATCAAGGCATCTGAGCATAAATGCAGCACTAGTGATGCAAAAATTCAAGCCATCACTAAGTACTCAAAAGGATTGCATTAAACTTTTATCAATTGTCTCAACCATTCTTATTGAAACTACCCGTTTATTTATCTTATTATGACGTTTTTTTAATCCGTTTGGACAAACAGTCAATTTTTTTTTTTGAATAATCATTATGCGCTCTATTTGTCTGAGAAGTGCGTCGTTGGCACAGAGGTAGAATGCTCACCAATCACTCAGGAGGTTCGGGTTTCAATCCCCGACGCCACTGACGCACTCCTTTACCTCGCTAAGCCAGTAAATAAGACCGGCAAAGGGGGAAGGTTGGGGATGAGGTTAGCAACCCCTTCCTGTAAAAATAAATACGACTGCTACTGAAACCTCAAGCCTCTAGTTTGAAGCCCTATGTTCCACTGGGAACGTAAAGTAATAAAACAATTTGTCTGAGAATGCCATGTAGAGTACTGTCTGTTTGTAAGAGCAACTGAATGCATGGACGTTTTAGGCATCACTAACGTCCTATTGATCATCGATGCTAAACTGTGAACAATGTTGGTTGAACAAACAACTATTACAAAGGGAAGAGGTTAGGGATGTAGTGGTGTAATAGTGAGTACATGCCAGACTTCAGACATAAATACCACTATGTACTTAAAGTCAACTTAGTCATATATGTACATCTTGAGGTTTCCACTATCGAGTGCACTGGATGACGGTCAGTCGCCTGAGCCAATGAGTCACACCTTCCGTCCAACCCCCGCGCCAAAAAAACAAACATCCTTAAACGAAATTGAGGAAAAAAATACCAAAGAATAGAGGCAGAAAAAGCATAGTAATTTTTAGGTTTGTGCGTCGGTGGCACAGTGGTTAGGACTCTCGCCGACCATGCACATGGTCCGGGGTTCGATCCCCTGTCGGCGCACACCCGATATCTATGGTCGGCCTGAATTTGGGCTACCGATATCCATGCTGAAAATTCCACACTTGTACTGAAAATACGGTGTGGAATCAAGCTGTAAATCAAAAAAAAAGATGGATGTCAGTTAGAAAGCCATTGTTTCGTCTTAGTTTAGGACTCTTCATCAGTGCACACCACTGATCCCACCAGGGATCGAAACCAGCCAAGCGCTATGACCATTCAACCAGTGGATGGCGAATTCCAACTTCTGTCAATTTGCGCTTTCAGAGCGACTGCCAGCCAATATCATCTGTGGGTATATTTCTTCACAACCGATTTGATGGATCACAACAGTCACGATTTCTCAGTGTAATTCCAAGTAACTTTGTCCTGTATCCAGTCGCTAGAGAGTGTACCGCTGAAGAGTCCCAAACTAGGACGAGATAGCTGTTCACTACTCCCCCGTTTGCAACGATTCTCTAACTAACATCAATCTGTGATCAAGCCTGAGGTAAATCAAATACCTACAGACTAACTGTAGAGTGTAATAATGTAATCCGGAAAAGAGGAAACCCCCCGGCTGCCACTTACCTTCATGAAGATCTAAATCGAAAATATTTTCTAACTGTTCACCGCCTAATTCACTTGTACCAGAGTCAATAGGATCATTTTCATGATTCTCCCATGTTTGGAGTTCTTCATTACTCGTCATAGGTGATTCAGTTTTCTCTGCTTTTAATTTGCATTCCTATTTGTTGAAAAGATAATAAAATTATTAATTTAGTTAGTTAGTTAGTCAATGGCTTAGAATGGAAAAGAATAGGAAAAATTTTATAAATTGAGTAAGCAGAAAAGAAGTATTTTGACCAATCTAATCACTGTGTTTGGCGATTCGGTAGAGGACTCATGCTCTGATTATTCAACAGAGTACGCACCAAATTCGAACTTTCGAGGCCTTCCGGCTACGAAGCAAGCTTGTTGAACATTTAGCCACTAGTTTGATATCCAACTGCACATGAATTCTAACTCCTGTTAACCAACGAACTTTAGCGTCACCGGCAACCAATGCGCGTAATTCCGAAGAGTCCCAAACTAGGACGAAACATGTATCCAGTACTCTCTTACTTCCAGTCGTTTGTGGCATGTACTACTGACAAGATTCATTAGTAGTAGTACATAAACAGACGTTCATCGGCACAAAAACATCAAACGAGGGAGAGATAGATTTGACGCCAAGCAGAAGAAGTGAATCGGCATAATGACGAAACATGGAAAACAGGAAAACAAGACTAACAAGCACAAGATGAAGGGAAAAAATAGCACAACACAAAAGATTTGTGGAAATGACGATTTTCATATGAGGTGTACATAATTTCGCTATACAGAAATATCAAATTCCAAATAAACATTTCATTACGACCTCTCTCCAACTAATATCAATCCAGGATCAAAACTGAAGGCAATTAAATCTCTACAAAGTAATAAATGAGAACCTATCAGTCACGTTGTCAGTGTGATTATCAAGATTGATGACTTGTCTGGCATTGCTGTGCATTTAGAATTGAAATTACATGTCTAAAGGCTATCGGTGGAATGTCCTGGACCTAGGTTTTGTGCTTAATGGTACTCGACAGATAAGCACCCGGAAAAACTGATGCCCTTCTTGAAAATTCGAGGATTTGTTATTAATATTACCTACTTTTCAACAGGATTAATCGTTTTGATTGGAAACTGGTCAATAACTAGTGTAATGTGTCTGGTGCTATCTTTGGTGCAGAATGAATTCTATGTGGAATTTTTTTAAAAGCATTGACTACAAGCATCATAACGACAATGTCAATTTTGAGCTACAAAGACTAAAGAATGGACTCATACCTTTCAAATTTTAGTCAGTTTACTAGTACTATTTGATGTCATCACAGAATATTTCATTATTACTAAGAGATTAATAACCCATTTAATTACTGCTGTACTCACTCACAACCTACTTCCCCACCCCCCGAATCTATTCTCAAGTCTTCCCGCCTTGCATCTCATCATCAGATAGGATTAGAAATCATTATAATACCTAGGTGAGTACAGAAACTCAACGATACCTTGTTTGGCCCACGTTGTACTTGATAGAGATAGTGTTAAGCAGGAAGTTTATAACTTACTATGTTATTAGCGAAACAATTGGTACATTCATCTTCTCTTATTTTTAATTTATGGTGACCCTAACTCAATTAACTTATAATTTTAGCTATTAACATTATTATCACTAATATTTTACACTTTTTGTACATTTTTGACTTCACTGTTACTGCTAATACTAAAAAAGCAAATATTTTCAATCTCGCAATTGTAATTTTTTATTTTTGTTTCTGCTGTTGTCGAGCAAATTAGATGGAGTACTGTACCACGGAATGCTGAGGATTCCACACTGTATCGTAAGTACTACTGTTTTGAAATAAAGCAAATTATTATTATTATCTGTTATTATTAGAAATAAGTCACTCAGAAAATCCAAGAGGACAAAACCTGGATAAATAGATCATAGTGATAAGTGATTCAAAGTTAATTGATCAGGGGCGCACAATTGAAGAGAGGAAAAAATAAAGGAAAACGTTGTCTATTAGAGATTGATGGTAATGTATAGTTCTTCATGGAAGCTAACAAACTCAACGGCATTGTATAAAAGTAAGCACAGAAAGTAATGTTGAGAAACCTTCAGCAGGAATCTGCCTACGACTGTGGTGAGAGCTGGCTGCAAGCCGAAATTGTTGACAACAATTTACGTCGATGTTACGTCTCGAGTCGGGGTCATGAGAAAAAAGTAATAACATAGCTTAACCTTCAGTAACTCAACAACCAATCACAGCAGACCTAACGTGACAAAAAAACCTTCAGCAAGAAAACAACCAATCAGGAGAGGCTGCTTCTCCGCTGACAATAATGTACGTAAAAATCTATAAATATCTCTTGATTTTCTCAATAAACAATCTGTTGTTTAGCGCTTGTCTTCTGTCGTTACACGACTACTACAAACCCATTCGATGAAGAGTATCAGCTACCGTCAGGTGACCACTACTACTGTGGTGAGAGCTGGCTGCTAGCCAAAGTTGGTAGACAGTAACTGACGTCAATGTTTATGTCCCCAATATTGGTGGTGAGAAAATGAGAACAAAGGCTTTGTTTGGTAGGATACAGTTAGCATGTTGATGATCTGACCCAGCCACAAAGAGATGCAAGGTTAACTTTCTGTGAGAAACAACCAATCAAAAGACTGTATTTTCTACTAACAATAATCTACAATAATGTACATTAAAATCTATAAATATGTGTTGATTTTCCTTAATAAACGATCTGTTGCCTGGCCCTTGTCTTCTGTTGTTACACTTCTACCACTTTAGATTCAAGAGTCATTGGATTCCAGTCCAATTGGTTGAAATGTCAACAGGCTTCATCTCGTAACCATGTAGGTCGTGGTTTTAATCGCTGGTGACGTTTTGAGTTTACTTTGCTGAAGAGTCTCAAGGCACGACGAAACAGCTGTCCATTGCACTCTGGTTCTCAATGATCTTTGCAACTGATGTCAATAAGTGATGAAATCCACAACAAGTGAAATTAAAGTAGCTCAAATCTCTACAAATCCCATAATCTAAACAAAAATATGTTTTGATAAAATAAATTCTTTTGATAAATCTTATTGAAGGACTTAAAAGGCAAACACTTGACCTAATAAAAAGCGTTTGGTTGTGAATATACACTTTGATTTCATACAACTGAGTGATTGTTAAATATTTTATTATTTTTCAATCATACCACTTGCAATGCGACTTTACAGGAGCTATAAGATTATATATAATCTCACTATATTCGTCTTCTGAAACCATATTATCATATTATTATTGTTCCTTTGAGCTCCGAGGGGAACATACGGCTTCAGCAAAACACATTTTCACTTTATTTTCTGAGGTCCTCTTTAGCTGGGCTCATGGTTGGCTTCATTAACAGTTGTCTTCGCTCAATACTCTAGATCAGATGGTCAGAAAAGATCAGCAACAGAGATCTCTGGGAGCGAACCGACCCAGCAGGAAACGATTGTGAAACAAATAGGCAGGAAGAAATGGAGATGGATTGGCTGGTCATACTCTGAGGAAACCATCAAGTGACATCACTAGACAAGCCATTGCTCGAGTGGAACCCTATCGGATGGGAAGCGGCGAGTTGGTAGTCAGTGCAAGGGTGACTTGGAGGAGGTCATGTGAAGAGGAGATGAAAACATGTGAGCAGGCTTGGAGCCAGGTGAAGACTTTAGCAGAGAACCGAACGCAATGAAGACTCACGGCTGAAGCCCTATGTTCCTCTAGGAATTAAAGGAAATAATAATAACAATAATAATAATCATTGCCTATAATGTTTCATCTCTCCCTTACACAAACTCAACCATATCATCCTCAGACACATGCCCAACTCGTCGTTTCCCGTTCGTGGTCCACTCAAGCAATGGCTTGCTTCGTGCGCGATATAATTTGACGGACTCCTCAGCATGTACCCAATCCATCCCCATTTCCTCCTGCATATTTGTGGTGCAATAGGTTCTTGGTTAGTTAGTTCCCATACTTTCTTGCTGCTAATTCTTTCTGGCCGTCCGGCCATTTGATCTTCAGTATGAAGCCAGCGAAGGCAGCTGTTGATAAAAGTCCGCATTAACCTGTTAGCAATGCTTTTCGTGACGCGGGCTCCAAGTCTATAATCCATATAGAATAACTGACTAACTTAACATTTGTGTTGAAAATTCGAATCTTATTCTTTATGTTGACTGAGTGGAGCAGATGTTCAAACCAATTTCAGATTGATGAAGGCGTATCTTGCCTTTCCGATTCTGACTAGCTTCAGCTTCTTCATCCATGGCGTCGACTGTAGTTGAAAAGATGCTGCTTTGGCTAGAAAAGTGAAGGAATTTCAATTTCTCTCATTTCTGGTCATTCGCGATGCTCTAATTTAGTAAAACCAGTGGCAATTTGAGCCTGCATCCTCCCAGTTGTTGTTTTTTATTCCTTCACGTTTCCAGTGGAACATAGGGCTTCAAGCTGGAGGCTTGAAGTTTCTGCAGCAGTGGTGATTGTTTTCACAGGATGGGGTTGCTAGCCTCATGCCTAACCTTCCCTCTTTATCAACTTTTATTACTGGCTTAGAGAGGCAAAGGAGTGCGTTGGCCGGGGATAGAACCCTGGACCATGTGCATGGTCGGCGAGCGTCCTAACCGCTGTGCCACCGAGGCTCCCAGCTGTTTACGACGAATCAATCCGCCTAGAATAGAAGTTTTTGTCAAGTCTTAGCATCACTAGCCCTAATAGGTGTGGTATGTTATCACCTGTATTTCCATGCAGGTGACTATTGACTGAGGCATCATTTCATCATTCAGATAATAAGGCTTCAATGAAATCGAAGCTTAAGTTGATCTTTTTATCGATTTATCACCAATTAGAAGATCAAATTGCAGTCGTGTTATTCATGGTCTGTGAATGTAAATTTTTATAAATAAATTGACACATAAAAGTTCTTTAACTTTGCCTTGAGAGTTTATTTACCTAAAGTCATTTTACTAGAGTGTACTAGATATTATTGATTAGGCAGATGAACTAGTTCACATTTGAGTAGTCTCACGTGATAAACAAATAAGCATGTAAATAAAAACAACAACAGAGAAACATTTTTAATCTATGGTTACGCCTATAAATTAAATTAGGAGAATACATGTGACATATGTAAATACTTTTCTTTGTTTGATCAAAGATCTTAAGTAAATCCTCACTTGCCCACTTCGCAAAGTGTCATTCACAGTATAGCCTTATTTATATCCTGTGAAAAATCAAAGATTTTAAAATTGTTTGTTTGATTGAATCAACTTTTTCAGTTGGAAAAATGTGATATTCATTTGTCTAATCAGCGTGACATATTATTATTATTATTATTATTATTATTATTATTATTATTATTGTATCCTTTAATTCCTACAGGAACATAGGGCTTCAGCCGTGCGTCTCCATTGCGTTCGGTTCCCTGCTAGAGTCTTCACCTGGCTCCAAGTCTGCCCACACGTTTTCATCTCCTCTTCACATGACCTCCTCCAAGTCACCCTTGCACTGACTACCAACTCGCCGCTTCCCATCCGATAGGGTTCCACTCGAGCAATGACTTGTCTAGTGATGTCACTTGATGGTTTCCTCAGAGTATGGCCAGCCAATCCATCTCCACTTCTTCCTGCATATTTGTTTCACAATCGTTTCCTGCTGGGTCGGTTCGCTCCCAGAGATCTCTGTTGCTGATCTTTTCTCGCCAGCCATGTGATCTTGAGTATTAAGCGGAGACAACTATTAACGAAGGATTGTAGTTTGTTTGAGACGCTCTTTATGACGCGCAGTGCAAGTCTCTGATCCGTATAGTAGCACTGACTTAACATTGGAGTTGAAAATCCGGATCTTATTTTTGATGCTGAGTGTTGTTGACCTCCACACAGACTTGAGAGTATTGAAAGCTTGTCTTGATTTTCCGATTTTCGCTTTGATATCCTCGTCAGTTCCCTCCGCCTGTAGTAGAAACGATGCTTCACAGGTAGGTTGTTGAAGGAGGTTTTCTCTTTCAGGTTCCTTCCATTTATCCTGATTGTTCTCTGTTGTTGTTGTTGCTGTTGGTCTTTCCCAGGAATCTTCATCACCTCTGTTTTATCTATGTTCACCTGAAGTCCTATCTTTGATGCTTCTTCTGCTAACTTGTTGGTTTTCGCTTGCATATCTTCCAGTTTGTGGGAAATCAGACATTTATGATTTGCAATTCCTGATCTCGGAACGTATTATGCGGTGTGGTGGTGAGATGTTCGCTAACCACGTCTCACGTGGTTCAGCCGACGCACTGCTACCCTTCGCTTAACCAATAACAAAACCTGGTATAGAGGGAAAGTTGGAGAGTGGGGCTAGCGACCGTACTTTGTTTAACATCTACTGCCTCAAAAGCTAAAGCTTATAGTCGTATGTCTCCCTCGGAAAGCGAAGTTAAATATTGGCAAATAAGACTTAAGGTGAATATAGTAGTGAAGACAGAAGTCATGAAGATATAAAGCCAACAGCAACGACGGCAAACACCAGTCACCATCAGCCGGAGAAATCTAAAGAAAAGTGGCTCTTTCACCACCCTGGAAACCATTCTATCAACTATGGTAGACGCAATGAGGATGTCTAAGTTAGCCAGAATAGAGTCGGAAAAATAAGACAGGCGATAATTAATCAGAAAGTATTTTGGAGACATGGTGATAGAACGCAGAAGAAGGAACAGCTTTAGAATCTCAAACAATAATATCAAATCAGTCCTTCTGTAAGCATCAGACATGGAGCGCTCCATACCTCAAACATTTCTGACATCCTGTTGCGGACTCACATCAACAGCTATCCCCATAGCTCTAATGATACTGAAGATTAGATGGCTGACGAGAAATGACGGGCAAAACGTAACTTCAACAATATATTCCTGAACAGATATGCAGAAAGAAATGGAGGTGGATTGGACATAAGTTGAGGGGACATTCGAATGACATGACACGCCAGACACTTATACGGAACCAGAATGTAAAGTGAAAAGATCGGTGTCCAAGGGTGATATAGAGGGGACTGATTCGAAATAAGATTTAGAAATACCAATTATTGAGAAAGTGAACACCACCACAGTGTTATAGATTACAATTCTAAAGGATATTCAGTCGCTCATATGTTCAGGGAACGTCAAAGAGATAGACTCGCCTCATGAAGTTTAGTTTCACAGACATCATAAACAATATATATGGCTCTCAAATGTGGTTTTTCTTCATCATAAGTTAGGTCGGTTCAATTTAGAAAAGAAACTGAAGGGTGCGACATGTGGATAAATATAGCGAATAGTAGGGGTATAATGTAACTTACCTTATTATCAAAATGCGCATAACCTGTCGGTCCAACATGCATGCACAAGTCTGGTCTTGGTTGTCCATTTATAGTGATATCAACCTAGAAAGAAGAACCGCCACAAATTAGATTCTATGAAACGTCATTTGATATTCTGGTAAATTAAGGTATGTTTTCAAAAGAACAACGCTACCAGTATGAAGGCATCACTGTATAGACAACAGACAGCTACAAGATTTTACAGGAATAATAAATAATAATAATAATAATAATAATAACAGCCTCACTCTCGATAAAATGTTTACACAATGAACAGAATCTTCAGCGTAATTCACCGTATAATATTTTCTTCTCATTTAGAATTTCCAAGTTAAATAGAAATTATTAAAAAGACAGTTTCTTTTAATTGAATTTTAGATTTTCCCGTCCAGATGACGATTCCCAACTACGACGAAATGCGTATCCTGAATTCCGCCGCTAGTCACCATTCACCAATTAAATTCTAATGACAGTTTTTTTATTCCTTTACGTTCCCAGTGAAACATAGGGCTGCAAGGTAGAGGCTTGAAGTTTCGGTAGCATTGGTGCTTATTTTGACCGGATGAGGTTGCTAGCCTCATGCCTACCCTCCTTTCTTTCCTAGTTTTATTACTGGCTCAGCGAGGTTAAGGAGTGTGTCGGCCGCGGACCGAATTCCAAACCACATTAGTGGTTTGAGAGCATTCTACAACAGTTGCAAGAAAGAGAATTGTTCTTTTCAACGAAGTCAATCAACTGAGCTGTAAACTCATCGTATTCATAATAAGTAGGTGAGAAAGCTTTAGAACTATTGTATAAGGCACTCTGGAAGACTATTCAGCATGGTTAACACTTTATTGATTATTTTATGAGTAGCTGCCAAAGCTTGTCTTTGGTTTCATTTGAAAGTCATGCCATAGCTGTTGATTATATTCCTAAATTTTTAGATGCGATTTTCCGATAAAGAAAGGAAGACGAAATTAGCAGCATAAAATGATATCGTCATTCTATTTCACAGGTTCTCATCAGTTACACACCGCTACCTGAAATTACAATGGTTATATAGATGATAACAATGACATACTTTAATGTTTAAGTGGTAGTAGAGAAGAAAGAAATACTATGAAATTGACGCATCCAAAATGTAAGCAGCATTACAATTTTTAGCTTAAATTTTCATCATCAATATCTCCACTATAACAGCTTTTGTCCCATAATCTAGAGACGTGGATTAGTGAGGATTTTGTAAGACACAGACAGCAAGCTATGTTCACCGAACAAGTTGGAAGAAGAATTAGGTTTCGTTGAGAAATGCCGAAGATAAAATGGATACCCTAAGGGATTTATACAAAAGCATAGCAAAGAAAAAGATAAGAAAGAAAAGCATCCAACTGTAGAAAGGAAGAAAGAGTTTATTTGTTTCCCATTCAAAGGAGATGCAGTGTCACAAAAGATTGACAAAAGACTGAAAGGTGTAACAAAAAGAATCTTCCCTGCAGCTTAACTCATAACATTATACAGCACCACTTCTTCTGTAAGCCACTCGAAACTGGATAAATACCCTGCTGATGTCACCTCCAACTATGTTTATGAATTTATGTGCACTTATGGGAACATGTACATTGGAAGGGCAGAAAGAAGTGCTTCTATCCGGTTTTCTGAACATATTCAAAGAAACATGTGCTTGGAAGGAAGCAAACATTCTCAGAGTGCATTTAGCAGACATACTGTCAATACCGGATATCTCGTAGAGATTTCTATGTCTTTCAAAACATTAAATAGACAAACGACAGCAAATTTACTACGATTTGCCGAAGTGATCGCAATGAAACAATTCAAACCAAACTTATGCATACAGAAAGAGAGTGTAATTTAATCTCTCACTGCCTTGGTGACTGAATTTTGATTTTGATTGCATGAAGTAGTCGTCTAACTTAGTGATCTCAACTCACTGAACAAATCTCAATTTTATAAATTGTAACCGCTTTTTTGAGTTGCTATGTGAACCTACAAGCTAACACTGTTCTGTTAATTTTTTCTGTTTTCTGTCTTACCCCTCCCCAGCCTGTTTTCTACTTAGACAGCGTAAAAATTGATAATGAAAACTTAAACTAAAAATTGTAATGCTTTGTTTTTGGATACGTCGGTTTTATAGTATTTCTTCTCTACTACCACTTAAACATTAAAGTATGTTATTATTATCATATATATAGCCATGATAATTTTAGGTAGTGGTGTGCAGTTGATGAGAACCTGTGAAATAGGATGACGATATCAATACTTCGATTTGTTTTGTGTATATTATGTAATGAAAGTTCTCCGATCATTGAGTATGAAAGCAAAGGAGGTATAATTTCTCAAAGGTACTTTAATGAGTAATTAGCATAAAATGTGCCGGTAGTTGCACGGTAGAATGCTGGTCAACCACGCCTCACGTGGTCCAGTGTTCAAACTCCCAGCTAACATATTCTTAAACCCTGCTTAGGCTATAGTAAGCTCGATAAAGGGAGAAGGTTGGACATCGGACTAACAACACAAGCTGGGAAATAATGATCCCATTGCTACTAATCCTTCAAAACTGTTCCACTCAAAACGCAAATGAAATAAAATTTATAAAAATATAAAATATAAATTTGACAAGTCAAACAAAAGAAGAAATCGTCAGGTTGAAAACCCAACGAAAAAATTGCCTCAGTCAGAAAAAAAAGACATTGAAAGTCAGTGTAACAGAATCACTCATAATGTTCAACTATATGCAGCAGTATCAGATTATCGAAGCAAAAACATTAAAAATTCACCTAATATCAATTAATTGAAGCAAAGGGGAAGAAGTCAGATAGGTCATACGCAAAGTGACAAACTTATCATGCATATTTGTGCAATGAATGTTTGATTTTTTGGAGGATTTCATCATCAACTGACATCAGTTGGAGAATCACTGAAAAACCACCAGGGAGTACTGGAAAACTGTTTCATCGTAGTTTGGGACTCTTCATCAGTACGCACCCACCGGGTTTTGAACCCAGCACCTGGATCGGGTCCCAGTGGCTTAATGGTGTACAAGCTCGCCTTGTAACTAGAAGGCCCTGGGTTCGAGCCCTGATCGTGGATGCGTACTACTGAAGAGTCCCAAACTAGGATGAAACAGCTGTCCAGTACTCCTAGGTTTTCCAATGATTTTCTAACTGATGTCATCTCATGATGAAATCCTCCAGCCAATCGAACTTAATCTCTACCAGTACTTGAAAAATAATGAATGTTTGTTGAAATCTAACATTCATGAATACAGACATAGAATCTTCTACTATAGAGTGCTACTTGTTGGTTAGCCTCATCCGACTTGACTAGTATGCACCTCCCGAACACGAGTATATAACCAACTTATTGTTTGAAAATATCTCTCACAGTCAGATTGGGAAAAATGACGACTGGAACGACAACAATAACCTTTGATTAGAGAAAATACATGGCATATTGCATTTACAAACCTTCAGAAATCTAAGTCTTAAATTTACAAATTTGATTGGTTGCCCAACCCAAAAACACCAAGCTCCAAATAAACGAATCATAACTGTTCAGTAGGGTGCTCATGTCACTACATGGATAAATCACGACTTCGCTGCTAATAGAGATACTTGTTTCTCCAAACAGAATTCAAAAGTACTACTGCATCGACAGTTTGAAAAGAAACAGTTTTTTAGTTATTCTACCTCATACAACGTTATTAACTCATACACAATCTAATTTTGTGGAACAGGAAGAGAGTAAACAGAAATATGAGGCAAAAAGTGGTAATATCGAAGAACAATGTAGTTTTATTGGGTATTATGGGTTACAAGGAGTGGATGCATCTGCGCCAGCCATTGAGAACGATTTTGAGCGATATCACCAATTGTCTCAAGCCGTTGGTTTCTACCTTTGTAGTGAGACATGGTTGCTAGCCAAATTGGTAGACAGTAATTGACGTCAATGTTTATGTTTCAAATATTAGTCATGTGAAAACAAGATCAAAGATGGACAGCAGACTTTGCGTAGGCGGATACAATTAGCAGATAGATGATGTGACACTCAAGAGACAGCAACAAAGAGATGAAAGATTAACTTTTAGTGAGAAACAACCAATCACAAAACTGTGTTTGTCAGCTAACAATAATCTATAATAATGTAGACGAAAATGTATAAATATGTGTTGATTTCATTAATAAATAATCTTTTGCCTGACTCTAACCTTCTGTCTTTACACCGTCTCGAGGACCCCAACCAGTCTACACCTTCTTACTTGGTTGGCTTAAACAAACTGTTGTGGATTTCATTGACTGATGAAGTCATATTTTTGGTTTGACCACCGCTGTTTATTTACCAACTTGACCCTATCTCAGCTGACATTGCCTGTTATCGAGGCAGGCGATGGCTATGCTAGTCACACATAACACATGTCTTAACCATATCAATCGATGCAGCTTCACAGCTTCGCTGATTGATTTCCCCTCCTTACCTAGCAGTCGACCGAAGCCTAACCTCAATATTGCTCACCCTATTATACCAATTTACACGGGAGACAGAACGCGAGCAACTACTGAACGCAGATACTATTGATCGGTCCGCATTTTCAACACCAATGTGAATTCGGTTCTTCTATACGGGTCAGAAACTTGCACTGCGTTTCAGTCACGAAAAGGATTTCCAACAGGTCTCAGTCTTTCGTCAACATTTGCCTCAGCTTCTCTCTACCAAGATGTAAATATATTTCGTGACACTTAAGATAACCTGTAAATCTCAATGCCTTATTTTCCTATGACGCTCGGACACTATGCTTGCTAATGGACAAAGGTTTGTTAAAATTGTACACTTTTTATTTTTAATTAAAAGATTCAGGTTGTACGCAGCTGATGAGAACCAACGAAATAAAATGGATCCAGATTATTCTGCGCCAATGTTTCTTCTTTCTTTGTTCAAATTTGCCGAATTCGCTAGTTCTATACTGAAGATGGAATGGCCAGAGGGAATACACAACAAGAAACTATGGGAACAAACCAACCAAGAGCCGATCGCTCCACAAATATGTAGGAGAAAATAGATATGGATTGGGCACAAACTGAGGAGGCCGTCGAATGAAATCGCGTACAATGCAGGCCATCGCTGGACTCGAATCCAAATGGGAAGCGACTAGTGCGTCGTCAGTGCTAAGGTTACATGGAGGAGACGATGAGATGAGAGAGTTTTTGCAATCGTGAACCCAGCTGAAGAGGACGGCAGGAAACAGAACAAAGTGGAGATGAACATAGAGAAGACAGAAGTGATGAAGATTCCTGGCCAACAGCAGCATCATCAACAAAAGACAACAATCAGCATAAATGGGAGAAATCTGAAAGAAGCAACTTCCTTTACCTACCCAAACTACCTGGGAGGCATCGTTTCAACTACAGGCGGACGGAATTGATGAGGATATCAAAGATAGGATCAATCGGGAAAGCAAGGCAAGCTTTCATTACTCTCAAGTCTGTGTGTGGAGATTAACAGCACTCAGCATGTCTTCGCTCAGTACTACTCATGATCAGATGGCAGGTCATAAAACATCAGCAACAGTGAGGGATCTCTGGGAGCGAACCAACCCAGCAGGAACCGATTGTGCAACAAATATACAACACGAAATGGAGGTGGATTGGCCGTCAAGTGACATCACTAGACAAGCCATCACTCGAGTGGAACCCGAATGGGAAGCGATGAGTTAGTCTCAGTGAGAGGGTGATATGGAGGAGGCCATGCTAAGAGGAGATGAAAGCATGTGGACAAACATAGAGCCAGGTGAAAACGTTTGCAGAGAACCAAACGCAATGGAGACGTGCGTTTGAAGCTCTATGTTCCTCTAGGAATTAAAGGAAACAATAACGATAATAATCCACCCTAGAAATAGCAGTTAACAAGTGGAAGGTAAGACTGTTTCGTTGATCAACTGACCAGAGATAAAAGATGAAAAATGAGACACTGTCGTAGCCCGGTAATGGTTCCTGTACATAGGCCTACGGGAGCGGCGGAAAATTAACGAAGAAAAAGTAAAAAGACACCATAAGATAGGAATACGAAGTTAAGATATATACGCATTTCGATGGCTTTAGTGTTGTGCGTCGGTGGCATAGCGGTTAGGACGCTCGCCGACCATACACATGGTCCAAGGTTCGATCCCGGCCGACGCACTCCTTTACCTCTCTAAGCCAGAAATAATGCTGGTGAAGAGGAAAGGTTGGGCATGAGGCTAGCAACCCCATCCTGTAAAATAAACACTGCTTCAGAAACTTCAAGCCACTAGCTTGAAGCCCTATATTCCACTGGGGAACGTGAAGGAGAAAAAAAGTGTTGAACTTTTAAAATCAAGTTCTTGGACAAGGAGATTAGAGATGTATTTTGCAGATAGGACAGATTCACCTGCAAGAAAGTGATAATTTTTTATTTAAAAAGTCTAGAATATGAAACACGAGACCAGTGATGCACTTACACTTAAAAAGTACTCCCTGGTTTTCAATGGTTCTCTAACTGATATCAATCCGTGATCAACTCGTAAAAACATAAGTAACCCTTACAAACAAAACTATAGAAAAAGTTGATCAGTGAATAATCACACACATGATTTGTAAGTTAATACCAGTCAACTAAACACGTTTAAGATGCATCGGTGGTTCAGCGGTAAAACGACCTCCAATCACGCCTCACGTAGTCCAGGGATCGATCCTTGGCCGACTCACTCCTATACCTAGGGAAGTCGGTAATAAAGCCAATAAAGAGGAAGGGTTGGTTGCGAGGCTAGCAACCTCATGCAGTAAAAATTAAATATCAAGGTGCCATCGAAACTTCTTAGCTCTAGCTTGAAGCACTACAATTCCCTTGCAGCGTAAAGAAACTAATCAAGTAAACACATTAAATGTATGTCACCACAACATCCGAACAATCTGTCAAACACACTACTCAGTTTAATTGGTTGATGGTGGCTAGCAGTGGAAACCAGGATGTACATTTTGTCCTATTTGGGACTCGTCAGTGAGTGTTGGTGTTCCCATTGAGACTCACAGCTGGTACCATCAGTTAACAGGAAAATCAAAACTGACTTAAAAGCAAGTTATAATCGGTACCCTCCGTACAACTAGTTACTCTTATAGTCCAATTAGTCAAATGAACAATGCTTTGGTGTTTGAAACCATACGTCCTGGGTTCGAGTCCCAGTGAAAAGGCCATCATTCCTTAGGGATTGCGGGTACGTCTAACTAACGAATCCCAAGTAGGCCAACATGTGCGTCCTGGATTCCACTTCTAGTCACCTCCGATCGAATTATTTTCTGTTGATCCTCAGGTATCGTCGAACTGCCCACACTAGAAGCTGAACATCTGGGTTTCATCAATCAATGAGACAATCAAAAGTGAAATAAATATCACCAATACAACTTCATTATTCATGAAAAACAACATCTAAATGACTTAAAGTATATTAGGTGAACAAAATCCTTCCTCTCAAGCTCAGTAGATCAGTGATAAGTTAAATGTATCCATTGTGCTTAATCATAGGAATACAACTTCTGCAAATCAAAGAATCTGCAAAAGTGCATTTTAATTTACGTCGAATCCAATGAAAATTATTTGTCTAGACGCGAAGAATGACAAACTCTTACTCAAGTGTTTCAGCTTTACAAATTAAAGGAGAAAACCTCACTCCATTTTGGAACCTTGATTTGCTAAAATGCCTAACATATTGCTTGCATAGCGTAGCAATCATATCTGAATATGGCTACACAATTATAGGGAAACGCCAAAGTTCAACAACAGCGTCCCAAGGGATACGAACGCACGAGTGACCTTCAGCCAACCAAATTGACGTATATTTACAAGAAAATGCACGAAAACACATTAAACATCTCATCTTTGATATGACTTAAAAACACGTCCCAGTTATAATGAGGAGTATCAATTACTAAGTTAGACTAGTTTCTTCACCGACCGACCGACATGTATTCACCGAGGTGACTGAAGATGAGTTGTTTTTGTGATACGTTCATCTCTCTCTTATCCTCATGTGCAGTTTTCCCCAAAAACTATCGGTTGAATTAATTTGGTTTTCAGTAAGGGGATCGACGACTACTTACCAGGAAAATGTGGTTGATAAAACAAATTAAAATAAATGACAATAACTTTAAATCTATTCCTAGGTGTACACCAACCTTAGTCCTGACCCTAACCCTAAAATTAACACTAACCCCAATTACACCTTTATCCTAACCGTAAACCTAACCCCAATGCTAACTATGACCGTAATCCTAACCCTAACCCCAATACTTACCTTGGCCCTAACGAGCTAATAACACATTGTTCGAACAGTACTTAAAAAACGTGATCTGTGTGGAATTTGCTCTTTAGTTAGTGAATGGCGTTGATATTTCAGCTATGATAATGATAGACGCCTTTAGTCAGCGACTAGCATACGTTCAAGGTCATTGGGACATTCGCACTCCTGGGACGCTATTGTTGAACTTCGCCAGGGAGACTAGTCTGAAATAAGTCTCTTCAGGGGAATTACTTGTGGTATTTGTGAGTTGGTGGCACAGCGGTAGAATGCTTGCCAATCACACCACAGGTGGTTTGGGATTCGATCCCCGGTCACCGACACACTCCTTTACCTCGCTCGCTAGACCAGTAATAAGACTGGTAAAGAGGAAAGGTCGGGCATGCGTCTAGCAATCCCAACCCGTCAAAATAAACACCACTGCTACAGAAACTTCAAGCCTCTAGCTTAAAGGTGCCCTATGTTCTACTGGGAACGTGAAGAAAATAAAAAAAACTCGAGACAGTGAAATTCGACTTATGACAGAAGTCTAAAACATCTGAGCCATTCATAAAAATCTATTGACAAGTTTTAGTGAACTTAATTTGTTTAAATTACATCGCATCATATAAATCTCTTACCAGCTGTCCTTGTGGATACAATACTCCCATTTTACCAAAACGTACATAGAATGGAGTACTTTGATATTCACCATTTTTATTTTTCACAACAATAACATCCACTGCACCTGTCAGGTTAGCTACGTTAATACTTTTATAATATTGTTGAGCGCTTGAAAATAGACGACCCAAGTAATTCATTGGTTTGTTACACTAGTAAATGAAGCAAAGATACACGAAATATCATGGTATCTTTTATATCATAATTCCACTTAAGTACACCTAACTCTTTTCGATTTCAGGAGATATTGAATGTTAAAATAGTGATAATATCAAGCCAGCCAATAAAATCGATCAATAAGCAAAAAATCAGACCAATCAGCGGTAACAAGGTCAAATCGTGTAACATTTACAGACTATTTTAACCAATAGAAATTAAGGCCATTTATTATTTATTATCATTGTTATTGCCTGTCTGTCTATATATATTCCGCCAATGGTAGTGCGATTATTTTTCTCTCATCTCCAGTTTTTCATTTGATGATAACTTTTTTTTGTAGAAGTTCTATTTTTTCTACTTTTCTGTCCAGTTTCATAATGACGTGATTTATTAATTTATGCTAATTACAAAATGTTTCACATCTTTGTTACTCTAATCTAATAACAACCCGAAAAGAAAATTACCTGGTGAAGAACTTGACAAATTCCTATCGGCCAATCAGATGCGTCCGAAGTAAAAGTGTATAATTTAAAAAAATAAATTAAATAGGATAATGTTCTTGTATATGTTCCAAAAAACTTCCCAGTTTCTCATGGGAGTTCTTACAGCTAGGTTAAACCAGTTTCTGAACATAAATTTGTCAAGACAACTGCAAATCATCATTCACTGCACTTATCCTCTGTTTTAGGTGACTCCAGAAACTTTCGATGGGATTTGTGTGTATCCTATCAAAAGGATTAACGAAATTGTCCTAATGATGGACCACATTGGGAATAAAGCCCAGGGATGACAGTTGGCTACACTGTTTCTCCCTTCTGATGAGCCTGTTGTGCAAGCAGTATTTAAGTACTATATGTGGGCGAGATTTGTTACGTAATTCGTATACAGCATCCACAGTTTCGTCCGTTTACAACGGGCTCATCTGACTGGTTGCTTAAGGTTTTTTTCATTTTGAGCTACTAAAGTTAAGAGTCACCCACGTCTTTGTGGGTTTCGACTATGAATTTTTGTAGGGATTTTCATTAATTTTAAATTAGATTTTATCACCTCACTAGGGATCCATGTCAGGACCTTCAAGGCACCAGACCAAGGTCATTGAACACCCAACCATTTGGGCCGAAATTCAGTGACTCTTGAAATTCGTGTTACTGCACTGCCCTGAATCAGGGATTTTGGTTAATGTCCTCTTCACCTTGATAAAGTGGACCCGAAGGCTTTAAGTAAAATTCATAGTCTAAATATAAACCTCTAGGTCTGTCATGGATCTTTCGTCAACTGATATGATCGCGTCGATAGCAGATGCGACCTAGTGTAGGTATGATAATTCTGACCCAATGAACAATCCATCCAACATGCTAAATACTCTTTTTCTTCCTTGAAACCTTCTTCATTGAACCACGGAAACCGCAGGAGACAAAGACTGGCCTGTGACCGTTACGATAAAATTTCATTAGGAAAAACACGTCCGATTTATATATTCTTTTAATCACATAAAAATCGGCAGAGGACAGTGAAAATAGATTATTCAAAATGGTAGGAGATTCGGCTAGGTCGTTGAAAAATATATATTCTGATTGGTTTTGACGATTTGACCAAGACCAAGGTAACAAAAAGATCATGAAATATTACAATCATTCGATCACACGATCAATTCTGCGATGATAAATATTTAAGCAAACTCGCCTAGTTCACCGGCTTGCTAGATTTCTAGCAGATCCCATGCCCGGGTAAACAGGGAGGGTTGAGAGTGGAGCTAACCACCTTTCCCCATAAAACCAACCAAACTTCAACGCAAAAAAATATATTGAAAATAAAAAAACTTCAAAAAAAATTTATTTTTCGCTGGAATCGGAGAGGCGACATACCATAGAGGCCTGGTGAAAGCCCACATTCCGGAAGCCAGTCAACAGCAGATATTTCCTCTCTCGATGATAGCAAGAATAAAAATAGGGACGTGGAATGTACGTGCAGTGCACGAGACTGGCAAGCCTGCACAGGTAGCCAAAAAATGTGAATATATGGCTTAGAAATGCTAGGTACCTGTGAGAGCAGATGGAACGAATGTGGACTGTCTAAATTGTCAACTAGATAGTCAGTAATCTACCCCTGTCTGGTCACCCAGACGACAACCACGAGCACACTGAGGCAGTGGGTGTCTATCATCATGTCACCAGTGGCAGCTAAAGTCTTTATGCAGTAGGAACCAATCTCCTCATCGAGGGTCATGACAGCAAGATTCGACTCACATGGAAGGAAGGAAAGTCAAAATCATCCAATGCTACGCAAAATGCTACTGACAACGCGGAACAAGAGAAGAAGGTAGATTTCCATAGACAACTACAAACATTAGTGGAAACATCTCAAATGTTGACATCGAAATCCTTATGGACAATATAAATGCATGCCTAACTGGGAGCAGATAATAAAGAAAGATGACTCATTATGGTTTGAGGGGCTTTCGCTCGGTGAAATGATTGACATGAATAAATCTTCGCAAACTTCTGTGATTTCAATGATTTGGTGATTGGAGGCAGTGCTTACAAACACAAGAATATACGCAAGCAACATGGACTTCATCTGGCGGACACACTGTGAACCAGATAGATTTCATCTCAGTGCTCCTGAAGGAGGTGAAAATGCAGCCTGCTGGATGCAGAGTCAATAAAGGGGGCAGATATGGGCTCAGACCATCACCTAGTTCAAGGAACCCTCAAGGTGAAGCTGAAATCCTTGAGAACAACTGGAGGTAGACCACTGTGATTCAATTTCAACATTAAGATAGCGCAGGACAAAACTACGAGGAATGCCCTCGCCACAGATCAGATCAGGGTAGATCAAAGTTGCAGACACTACGTAGCGTCACTGAGGAAACCTGTGTGTGTGCGTGTGTGGAAGAACATCGGAACTAACTCTTTGAATGTTATGTCCAGAGAAATGTGTACAACTGTTTTAGGATGAAAGAAGAAGCAAGACAAGTAATGACTGTCAACGGACACCTACCTGGAAGCTAATAGAAGAAAGGAGAGGAGAGGAGGATGGCGAAAGAGAAGATGACTCAATGCAAAGATGGACAAGAGAAGGAAGGAGAAGCTGAGTTCAATGTACACTGTACACAGAACAAAGCGCAACTCCATCGACTTCGAAAAGGCCTTTGACAGACACCGTTGATCAAGAAATAGTTTGGAAACTACTTCAAAACTATGGTATGCAGTGCCCGAGTCTTTATCAACCTCATTCAACAGCTATATGACAGTTCTACGTCTCAGGTGATCCACAACGGAAAACTCAGTGAAGCCATTCCAGTGAATACAGAAGTAAAACAAGGCTGTCTGCTTATTATCACCAACGCTATCCTTAATTGTTGTGGACCAGTTTATGCATCAGGCTGTGCAAAGGGTGTCAGAAGACAGGAATACGCTGGACCACCGATAAGAAGACTCTAGAGGAACCGAATTTCGCGGATGACTTACAGGCCAAAACCAACAAACTGGCTGAAGAAGCAACCAGCTAAGACAGGACGCTAGGTGAACATAGGGAAGACGAAAGTGATGAAAAATACCAACCAACAAACCAACAATAACAACAACCACCATCAATCATCATCAGGGGAGATTTGACAGAGGTTACTTCAGTCACTTATCTAGACAGCAAGGTTTCAATCACAGGCTGGCGGAAAGGATGAAGATGTCGAAACAAGACAGGATCAGAAAGGGAAGACATGACCTCATCAACTTGAAACCAATTTAGAAATCTTCTGCACTCCACTAGTATAAACAACAAGACTTGAGTTTTCAACACAAATGTGAAGTCATTCAGTTCTTGTACACGGGTCAGAAACATGGCCAGTGTGTCACGAAAAGGATTTCCAGAAAAGGATTTATCAGCTGCTGCCTTCGCTGGCTCCATACCGAGGATCAAATGGCCAGCCGGCCAGAAAGAATTAGCAACAAGACACTGCGGAGATGAACAGACCAACAAGCAAGAGCTGATTGCTCAATAACTATGTAGGAGAAAATGGACGTAGAATGACATCACGTGCAATGCAGGTCATCACTCGAGTGGAATCCCAATGGGAAGCGACGAGTGGGTCACTGATGCGAGGGCGACATTGAGGAGATTGTGTGAGTTGGAGGAGATGAGAGTTTGTGGCCAATAGTGGACCCAGCTGAAGAAGACAGCACAGAGTAGATCGAATTGCAGATGTGTTGCTGAAGCCCTATGTTTCACTTGGAATCCAAAGGAATAACAATAGTAATAAAAATTATACTTGCCATTCTAAATCAAACAGATTTTTGCAATGTTGAATTCTATCTTGTCAAATTTCATACCATGTTAAGTAACTTTTTTATTTTGTTTACCTACTAATCCTAGAATTTCTTTCCACCCCCCTCCAACATCTACACATCCTTTGAACTATTCTATACATAAAACACTATTTCGTTTGCCAACTGACACTCAATATTTAACTATGATTATAATCGCAGAAATTTTAATTGAATTTCATACTACTATTATTATTATTTCATGCACTCACAGCTTTTTTCAAATTACGTGACGGGATATTATTTTCTTAAAATCTATGGTTCTTTAATGTCTCATAAATCCTGGCCTTGATTTCATCTGATATTCAGCTTAGTATTGTATGTTTAGACATATTACTACTACTTACATGTGATTTTGCGAACTGTAATTCTATTGATCTTAATAACTCTTTGTGATATAAAGAAAGCTCAGTGTCTTCAAGACCAGTTACTCTTTAGATATTATGTGTACGCATCACTACAGAGCCAGATGACGAAGTCATCAAGAAGAATATTCTTTGCTCAATCTTCTCGGATCAATAATATTAATAAGTTACAGTCTGAAAGCATCTGTAAGTGATGATATGCATCAGTATAACACTAGGCTGAATATAGTATAAATTAGAAAAACATGATACAGATTTTTTGAATGCACAGATCCTACAGCAGCCCAGGGAGGCAATAGTGCCTGGACCTGTTCCCTTGGTATGCTGGCTCCTGGTTGTTTTAAATAAAATGCGATGGCCTATGATGTCTGGAGTATCTGGTGTCTAGGGGTCTTTGACAATTTGTTTGGTAACCGATGGATGACAGAAA